TTCGTCTGACTCAGTATGGACGTTCTTATGTTTTTAAGACACTGTGACCCACCAGGCCCACTCTTCATTTCTAGATCCAGTTCAAAGAGCAGGTCATGATCTTGCTACACTGAGGGCACATTGGAAGATCCATCCTTTGCACAGGCCCTTGCTAATAACAAAGCTGAAAAATGACTGGCACCACTCATTGTTGAGTCTGTTTGGGATACAGGCTAGATTAAGTGGGGATTAAGTGTTTTGGACATTTCGGGCAAAAGATGCAGTTCTTTTTTTGAATATGGATGGCACTGACATTTCATAATAATATGTATATGATAAAATGCACGGGTATTATATATACACACTCAAAATGGGTATGTATGACCAAGATGGACATATATGAATGAGACAGTTATGAGGTGTAGTTGCTCATGCAGACCCTGTATAGTCTTTCAGTTAAATAATGTATCTTTTTAACAATTAAAGCCACCAGTTTACGATAAGAACTATGTATCTGCAAAGCTACATTTTATTAAACATAAATATTGTAGTTAAAAAGTGGGTGTGAAGTAAAAAACAGATTTTGAAATCATTCCTAAATGTAGTTGAAGACGTTGCTTGTTTTCTTTAAAAAAGGATAGAATCAGTTGTCTCAAATATGTATCCAAGGTGAATTAAAACAAAATTGAACCCTCAAAATCAATAGATTGAAATAACAGTAATATATCACAGAGAACTAGAGCAGTGTTTATAAGCTTCTTCACAAAAAAAGAAAAAATAGCCAAGGAAGTAGTTTTCCAAATATCTGGCAGGTATGTTTGGCGTTCTGGCCCAGCTAATGATTACCACACAAGACAGTTGATAAAACCATCTGAAAAAAGTCTTAGCAGCCCATCAACATTAAATATATATGTAATGAGAGATGGAAAAAAGCCATGGTCAAAATGCCCCTGGCTGTTTTGGGGTTTTTTAAAAACACGCTTATACCCTGGACTGTGCAAGATGGATGTTATTCAAATCTCATTTTCGTAGTCCCCTGCAAAAAAAGCTACTAAAATTTTATCTTGTTAAAACACACTAGAAAAAATAAATGTATTTTCATTCTTGGTTGTTTTTTATACTCAAACCTATTTCATTAAAATCCTTCTATGTAATAATTTTAATATACATATTTTCTAACTCTGGAGAAACAGCATGTGGGCACCAAAAGATAGATCTTGTAAAGAAATCTATCACAGAACATTTACAGATCATTCTGTGTGTGTGTGGTATGAATGAATGAATGAATGGCAGAGCTCAAATTTAAACAGTTACAAGTGCAGTCTCTCCCATGCATTCCTTCTTCCTTCCTCTCTATATTCAATAACTGCCTTACCTCATTTACTTTCTTCATTCATTATCTCCCAGCCAGCACTACCCTCTCATCAAAATGCTTCTCTCTTTCCCCTCACACATCTTACCTCTGACCAGCAGAATGGGAGGAGAGCCCCCTTCTCCTAAAATAGCAGCCTAGCTCCACCACTGCCTCTAGGCACCTTATTCAGTTCAAGATTTCTACCTAGCCAAGTAATTTTGCTATAGTTGTTCAGGGCTTACTAATACTTCAAAATGAAAAGAACAGTTACTTACCCTGCAGCAACTGTGGTTCTTTGAGATGTGACAGTCTGCATGGATCCCATCATAAATGCATGTGCCTCATGTATGCAAGATTTTATTTTATTTTTAATAGTGTCTGTCAGGGCTGCACATGTGCCCTGTGCTACCTCATTCTCCCATGCAAGAACGTAAAGGATAGTGACTATAACCCTCCCTCAGGTCCCTCTCAACTCAAAATTCTAAGTAGCTGTGGATTCTGAAAAGTGGGGATAGATGGTGGATAGTGGGATTCACACTGACAACAATGTATTAAATAACCACAATTACTGTAAATAACCATTCTTTGAGATGGTGTAGTCAATGTGGATCCCACTGCAGGTAACTGGCAAGCAGTGTCCTCCTTGGATGGTGGGAGTGAGGAGTTTCAGCTACAATCAGTCAAATAGACTGCAGTACCGCTTTCCTGAACTTGGCTTCTGACTTGGCTACCATGGGGTAAAAGCTTAAATGTTTAAAACAAGTCACTGGTTACTCCACATTGCAGCTCTCGCATTGAAATGTTCCTCATGCAGGCAGATGCTGCTGCTTGTACCCTGGTGCAGAGTGCCTTGATGTTTTGAAAAAAAGGTTTGCCAGCCATCTGATATCAGGTGGAAATGCACTGTATGATCTGCTTGGAGATTCTAGGATGAGAAGGCTTGGCCTTTTGACAGGCCAGATAGGGCCACAAAGAGATGGAGACACAGCCTGAAAGGCTTGGTCCTGTTAAGGTAATAAAACAAAGCTCTGGACATGTTGAAAGTATGCAGTTTCTTTTCTCATGACATCAAGTGTGCCCTTGGCAACAAAAATGGGTAAAGTAATTGATTAGTTTAGGTGAAATTCATTCAGAGACCACCTTATGGATGAACTTGGAATAGGATTTCAGCACCACCTCATCTCGATGGAAAGAAGTACAAGGTGGTTCAGCCATAAGGGCTTGGAGCTCACTGACTGTGAGTTGAGGTGATGGCCACAAGAAAGACAGTCTTGATGGTAAGGTGAGCAGTGTTGATGTAACCATGGAAAAATCTTTTCTATTTCAAGAAGTCTTGCTGATAGGAGGCTTCCTGCTTTGTATGAGAATCTCCTGAACCCATAGCAAACAGTCTCTGCCAGTAGAGGCAAGTCCTCGATTGTGACCTATACCTTTCTTGGGATGCCCTGTGCCTGACACCATGATGAATGGCAATTGTCACAGTGGCAGTCACACACCTGGTCCCTGCATCAGAGGTGCCCATCATGACTTGCAGGGCTGTCTTGGTCAGTAGTTCACCTTGCTTAATTATGTCTTTAAGTTCCTCTCTGCTGTCATGCAGGAGCTTTGTCAGGAAGCATGTCACCCTGTCCCATGTTAGAAGTAATATTTGGCCAGTAAGGTCTGGAAGTAAGCTACCTGTAGTTGCAGTAGGTTAAGGCTAAGACTTTTGGGGCCCTTGTGAGTCCTCTTACTCTACTTCGACTTTTTTTTGGTCTCACTGACACTACTAAGAAGCCTGAATTGGGGAAGCATAGTAATACTCAAATCCCACCCCTTCCTGACTCATTTTGCAGTGGGTGTTATCATGGCCAGTGTCTGCCTCTGAGCACTGGCAGGGTTAGGCAGTCCCTCATTTATGGGGAGGAAGATCCTGGCTGGACCAGAAGCTGACAAGATGTCAAACGGTTTGTAGGATTCCTCTGATACAGCCAAGATCTTGATATGCAGAGTCTCAGTAATCCCCACAAGGAGCTCCTGGAACACTTCAAAGTCATCCAGTCCGGAGAATACTGCTTCATCTGGTAATGAAAATGAAAGTCCTTTGGCAGTGAAAATGGGGCATTTGGTGCCACTCTGTCCCTGGATCCAGCTCTTCCTGGTATGCTGGTGTAGATGGTCTTGGCCCACGGATGCTCGGGGAAGGGGCAAATGACAGTATTACCTTTCTCAAGAGGGCTGGTCATCTGCTTCTCAATGCTTGAAATGATAGGCCCCAGTATCCCTAAGAGGAACATGGAGGCACACTTTAGGAATATAGCTAGCTTGTTGAATATTGGTTCGTCCAGTGCCATTTGTGAAGAGCTGGTGGCAGCTGAGCCCTGAGCCAGTGGTAGGGCAAGCCAGTAGTTCTATCTGTGGTGTTGAACAATAGCCTCACAGAATAGGGTTCCCTACTGGAAGACAGGGAGAACGTACACCTTGGTGATGCTGAGAGGCAGACCTCCTCCTGGGATGATACCAAAAGTGTATGGTGCTCTTAAGTACTGGTATAACCAGAGTTTATACCAATGACAGTAGATGTATGGTCTTGGCTCTCCTCTAGGCTCATACTCCGCAGTGAGCATCAAATCAGCGGATGAGTCGTTGGAGCCAGGATCGGTGCCAAAGGAGTCTGCTGCACTGCAGATTATTACTTCTCCCCAATCCTTGATAATGTGTGGGATTTGGTGGATTTATTTTACGGTGTTTGTCATTATAGGACACTGAAATCTGCCTTGAGTATGCTTTTTGTGTTTGAAGTGGCCAGACTTTGACATCAGAGGTGTGGGTGCTGGCTCTTACCTTGGCACTGCCTTCTTCAGTGTTGCTTGTCTATTAGGTGGCGCACTGCCTGAAGCTGGCTTGTCTGCCAGCAGCACTCTGGAGCTTGTATCCTCAGGGTGTAATGAGACCTTCATGGACTGTTCCAGAAGATGGAGCTTTAGCCTCACATCCCATGACTTGAGTCTGCTTATCATTCTCTGTGAGAACACTTATCTGCTCAAGATTCCCTCTGACAGAAGACACAGCTGATGTGCCCATCTTTCAAGGGGATTAGTCAGGATGGACAGGGCTTAAAGCATGCAGGTTTTGAGTTCACCATGTTAATAAGCCCTGTATAGAGAGGTCTATGTATGGGGGCGAGGAGGGGTGATCTAGTGGTAGAGTTCTGTTCAGATGGATGGAGAGAGTTCATTGTAGTCAACAGAGAAGATAAATAGTTCTGAAGATTTTCTTGAACACTTGTAGAAGTTTAGTCTGAGCTAAGAATTAGTGGATTGGACACTCACCAGGTTCTGTCTCGCTGCCACAGGCAGTAAGAGGGAACTGAGGAAAAGCTACATCTGCACCACCCTTTATACCCTCACATGGGAGCATGAGACGGCACAGGACACATGTGTGGCCCTGATGGACACTGCAAATCAAAAAATCTGATCTCTCACATATCAGGTGCATGTCCACCTACACTGGGATCCACACTACTACATACTCAATGAAGAACAGACATTGATATACTGCTGAAATTATCATGAACTTGCTACACAGTGTTTTAAGAAGTAAATAAAAAGAATGTTTATTCAAACGACACTAATTCAACTAGCATTGGAAATTATGCAGAAGACTGGGCTGTAAGAGGATAACATACTTCCTTTCTAGTTCTTGCAGCAGCATCTTGTACAAGCTGAGAAATTGCTTCTTTCATATTTTCTATCTCCCCTTCTTTTTGCTTCTCTCCGAGCAGGGCCTAGAGAAAACAATTTGAAATACTATAACCAGAATTATCTTTAATAAAAACAGTGTGATCTTTCATTAAAAAAAAATGTCAGTGATGACGATCTTTAGTAAACAGAAAAAGAAATAATGGCTTGCAAAATGGCATCAGAATACCACTCTTTGATACAAAAAAGTTAGGAATTGTGTTGAGTTTTTCATTCTATTGGCTATCTGAACTCAAGCATGTCAGGAAGGCAATAAACTTGGACATGAGAATGGGTGATTGTCATGTATGCTTTCTGCAAGCCAGTACAATGCAACCAGTTGGTATGTGAGGATGCCCTTTTAGGCTAGGTCTACACTACAGCGGGGGTCCGACCTAAGATACGCAACTTCAGCTACGTGAATACCGTAGCTGAAGTTGCGTATTTTAGGTCGACTTACCTGGCTGTGAGGACGGGGGAAAGTCGATCGCTGCCGCGCTGCCGTCGACTCCGCTGCCGCCTCTTGCCGCGGTGGATTTCCGGAGTCGACGGCAGAGCGATCAGGGATCGATTTTATCGCGTCTTCACTAGATGCGATAAGTCGATCCCAGAAAACCGATTGCCTGCCACCGGACCCTCCGGTAAGTGTAGACAAGCCCTTAGATAAAATCTTAGCACAAACAACACTTGGAGGTTGACCACGACGGGTTATGAGGAAGAAAAATGGAGGAACTCATACAAAGAGGTAAGAATATTCTCAGAAGCTTTTAACTGGGATTGGGAACAGTAAGGAATAACCCATGCTCAGAATACAAGAAAGTTTTCTGGCAGCAATTAAGGTCCTGGTGACAATTCCCATACCTAAAATATATCTGTAAAACACAGAATAGATAAATATTTTCAAATCTTTATCTCCAGCATTCTTTGCTCAGTTTCCTGACTTTTCTTTTGTTGTTTCTATTTATTTCAAACCTTGTACTTTCATTTCCCCTTTGTATACTTGTTAAAATTCTTCACACTTTTTTTTGGATTTCCTTTCCATAGGCCCCAGCTTTTCCAACTAAATACACTATCTCAATTCCACATTTTTGAGCGCGTTAACATGATAGTGGAATGGGTGCCTTGTATCATCATGATGGATGTGTTCCCACAGCTCGCAGAGAACAATCTCCTAACAAGCATAAAAGCTCCCTTACCATAGAGTTCAAACAAAGATATTACAAGTACATTTTTGATGCTTCATCCTTTATTTTTTGCACTTGCTCACTTCCTAATTTGCAAAATTCAGTAATTTACAAAGCATCTTCCAATCATTATTGCCAATTAGCTGGATTCTATTATAATTTAATTTTGTTCTTATAACAGGATTATGCTAACCTGTTACCCGTAAGCAAGCAAGATATTTACTTCTATATCTGTTCAATTAGTGTTTCAGACATGTACTGCAAGAAAAGTAATTTTTACTGAACCATTTCTTTCTGACATAACACTTTACATGATATCACTGGCCCTGATGGACACTGCAAATAAAAAAAAAGATCTGATCTCACACACACACTAGGTGTATGTCCACCTACAGTGGGATCCACACTACCAAATACTCAATGAAGAGCTGAGCATCAAATGCTCTGCTGAAAAAACTTGGATGAAAAGTGCTGTCGTTGTAGTACTAATATACTAATCTTAACCTTCGTAAACACCTGCCTTTTTATATATGCTATTTAAGTGTTCTCTTCAATGACACATTTCAAATTGAGCAACAGAAGAATAATAGTAGTTTCCCTTTCTTAAATTTTTTAAAAAAATATATTATTTTTAAACTTTTACTCTTTCCCCCTTGGTTTTCCTAATTTAAGGCTCTAAAGCCTAGATATAGGAGTCACATTGTGCTTGCCAGGAAGTGGCAGTTGACAGCTCCAAAGACTATCTGTAACCGCTGGAGAGAAATCAACTCCCTGCTCTCCCTCTACCAGAAAACAGAACCTGGCTAAGAAGGGGAGCTGCAGCAGGTAAGATCAGTGGGTAGAATAGGTTCTGTAGCTGCTCTGGCCAGGGAATTGGTGGGCAAAGGAGGGGATATGCTGGCCGTAGATATTTCAGCTGATGGCCCCCCAGTGTGTGTTTGAGCGGGCAGAGTGAATGGGCAATGTGGAAGCTCCAAGAGACCAGGGACTAGAATCTGTTTGATGGGCAGCAGCGGATGGGAAGCTGTGGGGGAGAAAGGAATAAAATTGTCCCTGCACATAATTCATCCCTGACTCTATTCTATTTCTCTCTTTCAGCCAGGGGTCTCCCAGCTGGTGGTCCTCCTCTAATTAAACAGAGAGATAGCTGGCTATAGCAATAACCCTAGCACTTTTGAGTTTTGTCATTGTTTGGAACCTCATTCTGGGAAAAGGGGCAGCCTCCTTCCATTGGACATGCAGTCCCAACTTCCAGGCAGGCAGAATCTAGCCCCTTTATCACAGAGCTGCTACCAAGAAAGAGAGAGAACACTAAAAATAAAGCACTAACTATTGTATCTCCCCAAAGTAAAAACAAAACAACCACTTATTCTGCTGCCCATGAGATGCCTCAATTTGAAAAGGATATTTAGGTTACAAAGAGGTCTAGTCACACTTAACTCTTCTACCTGCTTGATACTGATTAGAACAAATACAAACTCTTTAAGGTTTAAATAATTTATTCCAACAAATTTGAACTAGCTGGGCTTCATTTGCTGCTGGTTACAATCCACTAAATGTGCATGAAAGTAACAACTTGTCAGCAAATGTAAGTCAAACTACTTCTAATTGCCTAAAGGCTTGATTTTTAGAAAATGCTAATCACCACCCACTCAAAAGCAGTCCCCCTAAACGTGTTTTCAAGTTGAGCACCCAAAAATTGATGCCTCAGAAATCACTAAGTCACTTTTGGAAAATCCTGGCTAGGTTATTTAAACAGGCTAAAACTTTGGGACAGGTCTACTACACAAAACCAGGCTTTAGAATAGTTACATCACAGTTAGGTCCTTTACACAGTAAAAATAAACTGTATTGAAATAGGGTCAGGAGGCAATTATGTTGTAACTGAGTCCCCTTGATGGATTTTTGTCGTATGAACAGGCCCTTAGTAACTTCAAGTATTCAATGATGTGGTAAAGAATGTGTCTTGATGCCTTGTCTTACCTGATTTTTTTGTAGGTTAGCTTCTTCTAAGAGTTGCATGCTGTCTCGGACTTTTACTATAGCATCATATTTTTCCTCTTCTAGATCTGCACACTTTGCCTGTAGCTCTCTAGTTTGTTTTTCGAGAGCAGTCCTCTCTGTTCTCAACTGTTCAGCATCTTGTACAGCTACACATAATCTAGAAAGTCAGAACACTCAGATCCTCATTGGCAGAACAGGCATCTTGCTAAAACACTTTCACTCCTGCAAACTAGTTGTTCTCATATATAGAAAGTACAAATTTACTTGTAAAATATTAATGTTTAAATTCTCTGGTATTCTCATTTTTTAAATATGTCCTCCATCACTATGTCCCAGACAGAAATACAATGAAAGGAGTTAACTTTGAACATTTGGCACATAATTAAAATGAGAAGGGTACTGCTGTTCAGAGATACCTATACTGGGTTGCAGGCTTGTGCTACAACTTGCCATTTTAATATTTTTTTTTCTTTTGATACTTATTATCCATCTTAAATCATAATCTTTGCCAAGGCAAGTCAGTTGTTATACCACTACCAAATGGTTCTAACATCACATATTAAACAAAAGGAACGGGCACACCTTAAACAAACAGTGTTATATAAATGCTCTGCTTATTCCTCTTGGCCTTTTTCAATAGTTTCCGTTTATGAGGAGGCAGGGAGGAGTAATTGGGACATGGCAATAAAACTTTTATGTAACAGTGTGTGTGTGTGTGTGTGTGTGTGTGTGTGTGTGTGTGTGTGTGTG